GTGCCATTATCCATGTGCCCAAGAAGTCAAACTCGTGGCCTTCTTCCAGGATGTGGGTAGCGATCTGGGATAGTGGGTCGCCTCCCCGCACTGCCCGTTTGTGTCGAAAGCTCAGAAGAAAAAAATTGCCGTTCCAGGGACCGCGACTTCTTCTTCTTTACAACAAGAACCTGGGGCACGCATATTCGCTTCTATTCGTAACAATGTAATCCCCGTCCTGCTGAGTCTAACACTTTCTCTTCTTTCTGAGATACCGCCTAAAGTGCTAGTGGAAGTTATCAGTTATATTTAAAGTCATCTGCTCATAGCGTTGAGAAACCCAACCGCACTAGAGGACGCTATCTGGAGCTTTTGTTTCGTCGTATCAGCTAGCGCATTTGTGTCTTCTTTTCGTGCCCTCTTTATGGGCCTCTCTAGCTCACTCCTAAAATAGCGGAGGTTTTGTCGACCACGGCTGCAATTAGGTTGACAGTCTGAACTTTACGCTGTCAAAGTAGGTGCTTTCAACTTAGATTCCATGTAACTGTTTTAGGTCCGCCGTCCACTCCTATTAACGTTGTGGCCAGAGTGAAGCCGATGAATGCCCCGCCCTCCGAACAGTTGGTTGAAGTCTCCTGGGACCAGCCCACCGATCAGACTGTCCCCTCCACCGGGAAGGTGGAATATGAGGTCGAAATGAAACCGGAGGAGAGTACTATTTGGACGCCAGTCGGCGTGGACTTCCCCATAACTGACACCACTTTCTCCGTACCTCTGGAACTCCTGAAGGACCTGACCAATTATCAGTTCCGAGTCACAGCAAAGAACAAGGCTGGAAAGAGCAAGACGTCACAACCTTCTTCCCGTGTCCAGAAACGTTAGTTCCCCTGTCAAGCCCTCCTTATCTCTACGTCCTCTCCCCAAAGTCCTTTGGATTTTTTACCCCCTGCTAGATTTTGATTTTGAAAATGACGATAGAAATAAGGAATAGGGATGCAGCAAGAAGCTTTAATATTTACTCGTTTCCATTTCTGTACAAACCTTATGAATGCTATGCATTTTATTGCCTTCAGCTATGGATGTGGAGTTCGTTAGGAGGCTAGAAGACGTAGATCTTCAAGAACTTCCAAAGGATGTTGTCTATGAATGTGAGCTGTCAAGACCAGGGATGACGGTTAACTGGCTGAAGGATGGCACCCCTGTAAAGCCAAACTACCGGTGCACTTATGAGGTTATCGGCGAGGGAGCGCAGGCCAACTGTGTTCACCGGCTGACCCTCCTTAACGTCGGCCCCGGTGACCAAGGCGTCTACACGGCACAGCTAGTGAATGGACTCACTTCGGAAGCCCAACTCAGCATCAACTGTCCGCCTAAGATCAACTACACCGGACCGAAAACGTTCGAGATGGCAGCTGGCAAGAGCACTGTAATCGAGGTTCCCTACTCTGGGTCTCCAGCGCCAGCTGTGAATTGGTCTTTCAATGCGGGTCCTCTACCCATTGGTCCCTCGCCCGATAAACCCATGTCAACCGTGGACACTGTTTACGGACTCACCAGCATGCAACTGCGCCGCATTGATGGAACCGCGACGGGAACCTTCCTAGTACAGGTAGGACTTTATATATTTGCTGTTGTTTTCTCCCATCTCCCCACTCCACCTCATTGCCGCTTGGTTTACTTCAGTAGATTGGTGAAACCGCAGTTAAGAGAGTCCTACACCAGATAAGAGCTGTCAACTTAACTGCCTGAGTACGTTGGTTAACTTACAGTTCTGCGACTGCTGCAAGCAACTTTCCTAACTTTGTAAATGTTTGATTATTTCTCCCATACCAGCGGGATCGCATTTACGAAAACTTATAATTAATAATGAGCAGCGTTTGGCATATTAAGTACTTAAAAGAACTATAAGAAGTACTAAGTGTTTGTTAAGAAAAATAAAATTTTCTCGATAATTCCCAGTTTTTGGAGACATCAAAGTAGCTGTAAATTAGAACAATTAATTGTAATAGTTTGTTAATTATAAAACTTGGAGCAGCCACTTTGTTTATACAAAAAAAACAGTTTGTTAAGTATAAACTTAAAGCGGCCACTTTCTTTATACAAAAAGAACTTGCCTTCAGTCAAAATGTTTTGTATCTGTGGAAATGATTATATACGCAGTTATTGAATATCGATGAATAAATTCTCTCTTCATTTCGCTAGTTGTCCGTGTATTCATTGATAAGT